TCATTTCCACACAACAATAAAAGTAGAGGTTTCGGTATTTGTTTTTACTCAGTTATAGTTATCCCACAACGTTTGTGTGGCAGCATAAAAATCTTGTTTAAATTATAAATCTAAATAATTACGTTTTTGATTGAACTAGTTTATTTAAATGAAATGACTTTTTTGTCTTTGAACAGTGTTTATCTAGTATGTGAGATACTGCTAATTAAATATAGTCACGATTCGTCTTGATAATTTATATAACGTTAAAACCAGTATTTAAATTATACCTAGGTACAAAAAAAATGGATAATTATCGATTGTGTATAAAAACTTATCACAAATATAGGAAAATGATGTGGTATTCCGATATATTTGGTAAGTAATTATAAAACAGTTAGATTATATTTTAAAATCTTATGGTTACATGCATAATGTAACTTACTCAAAAGTCTCTAAAGAAATGCAAGGTCTCGTTTTAATAATTTAAAAACATAAATAATTTTGGTGGTTAGCTGCATGGCTCACCCTGTATAAAAAGTACAAATAGCGACATATTTTAACCTCAAAATTATTAACAGGTAGAGATTAAGATAATGAAATAATTTATCTGTGGCGCAACTGTAGAATTATTGAGTGTTTGCAAAAATATATTGTGATTTGTTCGTGAATCACCCTGTAACAGTAAATATTTTCAAATGTCTTTTTTTATGAACATCTGACCAAAAATTATAATAAACTTTTATATAGATTAAGTCAATCTATCTTTTCAGTTTGAAGAAAAAATTACTAAAATCAGCAATTCTCCACTTTAACTCCCTGTATCTCGAAAACTAGTCATAGTATCGAATTTAAAATTAATACTTTCTTAAACAACATTAAAATTATTATACAGGGTGTCCTTTAAAATGTGTCCCAAAATTCTCAGGCAGATTCCTTAACCAAAAAATGGAAAAAAAGCTCCTATAGACCTATGTCCTAAAGTGCCCCCTAAGCGAGCAACAGCCTCTCGAAATCATTTTTTTTATTTTGATTTTTTGAATTTTCTTAAAAATGGAAACAAATAAAAGAACCAAATTTTGGCTGTTAAATATGATCAATAATAGTGACCTTTTGACACCTTCAAAAAGAAATTATTTCGTCAGGGGTGTACTTGGGAATTTTTTGAAAATTTTGATTATTCATAACTTTTTTGTGTTTTTGGTAATGACTTATCCATATTTTTTTTTACATTCTACATTGAAAACTACGTCAAAAAGGAATACTTGTTTGATCTCGATTGGAGCAGCCGTTTCCGAGAAAACATCATCCAAAGATATTCGTCCACTTTAGCTTAATTTTCAATTTTCCTAAATTACCTCGGTGAATCTCGTAAATAAAAATAACTTTTTTAGCTCTCTCTAAATAATTGTAGTTCAAATGTCGTGGTGGGACTATTTTTATTTAATAATAAGAAACGGTTTAAAAAAATATTTATTCTAAAAAAACAAATCAAAAAAAATTAAAGCAGATGCTCAATGTGGCGACCATTGGTTTCCACACACAAGCGCAACCGTCGCATCATAGACTGTCTTACACGAAAAAATACTTCAGGATTATTCCTAAGAACTTCGCAATGATGAAAAACTCGTTCTTCCAATTCTTCAACTGTTTCAACAGGACTGGAATAAACCAATGATTTTAAATAACCCCAAACAAAATAAATCCATTGGATTTAGATCTGGTGAACGAGGTGGCCAGTTAACAGGGCAACCTCTGCCAATTACTCTACCCTCAAATCTTTCGTTAAGGTGCTGCCTAGCTTCAAGGCTGTAATGTGGTGGAGCTCCATCATGCATAAACCACATGTTATGTCTGATTTGAATCGGAATATTATCAAGAAGCTCATGTAAGTTATTTTCCAAAAAAAGCCTGTATGCTGCTCCATTTAACCTATTCGGCAAAACAAATGGTCCAATAAGGTAATTATCAATAACTCCAGCCCAGACGTTTATTGAAAATTTATCCTGGTGGTGACGTTCAACAACCGCGTGAGGGTTATCTTCAGCCCATTCATGCATATTTCGAAAATTTATTATACCATCTCTAGTGAAACCAGCTTCATCGGTAAATAGCACTTTATTAAGAAACATTGCATCTTGATTACATCTTCCAAGAAACCATTCAGAAAAGATAACTCGCGGCTCATAATCAGTAGCTTTAAGTGCCTGAACTTTTTGAATGTGGTAAGGGTACAATTGTTGTTCACGCAAAACTTTCCATACCGTGTTACGTCCGACTCCCACTTCTGAAATTAAATGAGAGAATCTGTGTAGTGAATAGTTAAGAAAGAGAATCCATTGATTTGGGAAATCAGATTTTTTCTGCATAACGCAACTCTTTTCGATACGAAAAGTCGTGAAATGTAAGAGAAGCAATAACAAGTAAAAAAACTAGTTTTATACGATAAGGTACGGGGTAGCTAAAATAATAAATAAGTAATTACTTACCATTTGCTATTTTTCTGGTACTTGTCGATGGGGTTTCAGCTACCCTATCCAAAATTGCTTCTTCCAAAGCAGGAGTTCTCACATAATTTTGTCTTCCACTGTTACTAGAGTTTTTCTTAAATGTACCAGTTTCCCGAAGTCTATCGTCAATTCTAGAAAACGTCTTAGCGCATGGAAGATGCCTATTTGGAAAGCGCTCCTGATAAAGTCTGCGAGCTTCATTGGCATTTCCAGAAGCGAGTCCAAAACATAAGTGCATGTCCGTCATTTCGCCGAATGTGTAATCATTATTGTAGTTATTGTGAGCCATTTTAAACAAAATAATAACAATACAACGAATCGCACCAGAACACTTTTAGAAATAATGTTTAACTGAAGAATCATTTTTATCAGTGAGCGAAAAAAATTATCCATGAAACACAAAAACGCCAAAAAAATACATATTTTTACTTTTTTATTCTAAACAGCTAAATACAAACCTTATGGTCTTCATAATAAATAAATGGGAACTAAATTTTTAAATTTTATTTAGAGAGCTAAAAATAGTATACAGGGTGATTGATTAGTGTGAGGAAGCTCTGTAGATCTGTTATAATAAAAGTAGGCAGCTTTAAGCTTCACATTTTAAAATTAGTTACGATGTGACAGGGTGTTTCATAAGGCCGTGCCAAATCAAAGTTATGTTTTTTAAATGGAACACCCTGTATATTTTTAGAATCTGCTCGATAATCTGATTTCAATGATATATCACACTTGTTATCTAATATGAATAGTAAAGGATCTACAGCTACTCAAAAATCACATTTTTTCAAATTCAGGTGGCTGTTGTAGCCAAACAGTTGGAAATCGAGGAAAACGGCTTACAGTCCCTATCCTAACTTTTTAAGGTCTATTCAGTGACATAAAATACATATTATTTGATACAGGGTGATCAAAAATCCAAAATCACATCCGATTTTTGATCACCCTGTATCAACTAATATTTTTTGCCACTGAATAGACCTTCAAAAGTAAGGATAGGGACATGTAAGCCGTGTTCCTCGATTTCCAACTTTTTGGCTACAACAGCCAAAATTGAAAATTAACCTAAACTGCACGAATATCTTTGGATGATGTTTTCTCGGAAACGGCTGCTCCAATCGAGATCAAACAAGTATTCCTTTTTGACGTAGTTTTCAATGTAGAATGTAAAAAAAAATATGGATAAGTCATTACCAAAAACACAAAAAAGTTATGAATAATCAAAATTTTCAAAAAATTCCCAAGTACACCCCTGACGAAATAATTTCTTTTTGAAGGTGTCAAAAGGTCACTATTATTGATCATATTTAACAGCCAAAATTTGGTTCTTTTATTTGTTTCCATTTTTAAGAAAATTCAAAAAATCAAAATAAAAAAAATGATTTCGAGAGGCTGTTGCTCGCTTAGGGGGCACTTTAGGACATAGGTCTATAGGAACTTTTTTTCCATTTTTTGGTTAAGGAATCTGCCTGAGAATTTTGGGACACATTTTAAAGGACACCCTGTATATTGAGAAAATGGTTACATTTGACGAGCGAAATTTTAGAATAGTGTGTTCGTGGATTTGTACTTTTCATAATATAGGACACCTTTCAACAAATAAATCACCTTGTATATTTTGAAACTTAAAGGTCGATATATTTTAGTGATATTACCTTTCCCAAAATTCAACTCATAAGTACAGGGTTTTAAATTAATCGTTAAAAAAAATAATTTTATGTTGTGGTTCTCTCTATAAAACAAGAAATGTGTATTGTGCAATATTTGGTCATCAAAATACCATATTAAGCAGTACTTTTTGAAAATATGCTTCTCTGACCGCACAGTAGAATTAATGTGATTTTACAAAAAATTACCATCATACATTTGTGAATCACCCTCTAATTATACATTTTTTTATAATTGTAAGTATGTACTAATGTGTTACTAAAACTCATAGTAAACGTGTGTATGCATCAGAAATTCAATCTAGCTCGTAACTTTGCAAATAAAAATTCCCAAAAACTGGGCAATTTTCAACTTTACCACCCCGTATATCGAAAGCTAGTCATAGGATTGAGTTGGGCCCATTGACACTTTTGGTTACTAGGTTGAATAAAACAACATACCAAAGTTTCAGAAAATTTGACGTGTCGCCACTTTGCATAAGAAAACTGCGGGGTCCTTTGTATGTTGTGATATGTGCCTTAGATACTAGGCCTGGTAAGTATATCTAACTTTGTATGTTGTTTATTGTGTTGTGCTCCTATTGGTGTATGTCAAGTTGTATCTGATTGTGTTTCCTATAGTTATCAGAGGTTTCAATTCCAGTCTTATACAGTTAATGTCTACAAAGTCAAATTTATAATACTCTAGTGCTTACACTAGTTAGGTCTCTATAATTATATTTATCGTTTAACCCCTTGGGACATAGCTAGTTTCATTTGTATCATGGAACCCCGAATTGTGACAGATTACAGATCACAAAGATTGAAGCTGTAATTAGTGGGACAATAATTAGTCTGCTCTTACTTGAAAATTCTTCCAAGCTCTTTTCTGTACAATCGGTGGAGTTGAGTAGGCATTTTGTTCTAACCAAGAAGGTTCGCTTCGCTTTACGCCCCATCCACCGTGAAGGTCTCCCCAACCTCGCTTGTTCAACAAGTTGAGGTTCCTGTTCCAGTCTCTTCTAGGCATGTCAGCCCCAATCTGAAATTATTAAAAAACGGATACTTGAATTAATCAAATTTTACGACAGTTTCTGGGAAATATTGAGAGAAAAACTAATATCTGTATTTCATATTCATTATTTTGTAATAATTTTTTTTTTGTTGACGTAGAATTGAAAAGTTTATTTTTGTTTACGTAGTCATTTTTTTTAAACCATTTTTCTCGACTTTCGACTGAGGGTAGATTCGCACTACCTAAAGCACATACCGTTATGTCATATTCATAGAGCTACGATATACAGGGTGGCCCACCACATTCGCCTCGGTTTTTCTACGAGAAATGGAAAGAGGGGTAAAAACTTTTATCACAGTCATATGGGGGTCCATGAGAAGCATATTCCAAAATTATTTTCAAATATACAGGGTGACCTAAAAAAAGTATCAAAGTTATATTTTTTCTTATGGAATACCCTATATTTGTTTATATTTTTTGATACTATAGACCAAATAAAGGTAAGTTACTGTTATATTTCCTATACTTAAAACTGACCGTTTCTAACAAATTTTGAAAAATTCAAAAATACAGACCATAATTTAAAAATAGTTTGTAACGAGCTGCTCGTAATTCAATTTACTGCTTAGCTGAAAGGTTAAAGTTAACTACTACACGAAAGTTTAAAGGCAAAATTATACAGAGTGGTGAAAAAAATTGCCTCAAACTTTAGACACACATTTTATTAAATAACTTCTTAAAGTTAAATTGCCTATTTTGACGCAGAATTAGATTCCCTTTAAAATCATAGTATTGGTCTCTACACCTATTTCTTCTGCTTTTTATGCAAATGACGTTTTTAAATTTTACTTATGAATAATTTCTTTAAAATAGAACACACTGTATTGTAATTAAAACTCAAATTTATTGCCATTTCTAAAATTTTAAGAACGTGTTTATTCATCAGGGTGCTCCGTCATATGGAAAAATATACTATTCATCGGGGCGAGCTTGGGCATGCTTATTTTCTGCCCTGAAGAATAGAATGTTCTAAACATCAAGTTACCTTAGAGATATTATGGAAACAAAGCGAGAGCAAGAGATAAAAATTGTATTTTTAGTTGCTTTATTAAAAATAATTATGGAAATTTTAGAAATCTACTATTAGGTATAGGTGTTATTATTTTTGTTTAAAATTCCAATTGACCTGCCCGTGAGCACAGGTGAGTGAAGTTGCCCCTCCCCCCCCCCCCCCCAATGATATTTTTGGAATGAACTAGAATGCAATAGTGATGCACCAATATGCACCACTATTTATTTTTTTGCACCACCTTCTTCGAGAAACTGCAGCTATTTCTTTGTTGGGGGAGGGGTCAAATAAATGCTGATATTAGAAATATCCCGTGGATCTAATATGGATATTCAAGTATCCGTCTATATCCAGAATATAGAAGATTTCCGATGGATATCCAGCAGAATATCTAATGGGTATATCCCAGACAATACAAGAAATCCCAGAGATATCCACAGAATATATTTTGTGGATATCCAATATAACCAGTGGACCTAATATGGATATCCAAATGTTCGTCTATATTTCAGGATATAGAAGATATTCTATGGATATTCAGCCAAATATTTTATGGGTATCTTTAGTAGAGGTTCATGAGTAACCAATGATTATTGAATAACGTCGAAAGAAAATAGCAGAGATAGAAAATATTTTCAACACTGCCACAGTTTGTAGCTAAAGAATCAGTTCGCTCACTCTGCGTCGGCACTTTTGATCTCAATGTTCCAGTTTATACACTGCGCAACTCAGATTTGTATCCCTGGCGCATACAGAATTAAATCATAACAAATAAAATACATGAAAACTGCCTATATTTAAACAGCAGCCTTCTGCGAATCCTGAATTTGTATCCCTGGAGTGAATGTTATTTTGGAACATTCAACTGGTCCGAGTGAGCTAACTGATTACAGTAAATCTTGTAATTTTCACAGAAGGGGGGGGGGGGCAGCGTTCATTTGCCTCCCCCCACAAAGAGATGGCTGTAGTTCCTCAAGGAAGGTGGTGCAAAAAAATAATTAGAGGTGCATATTGATGCATCACTAGTGCATTGTGGTGCAATAGTTTTTTTTTTAAAAGATCATTGGGGGACCAACTGCGCGGACCTCATGAGCACGCTTGTTCAATTTCTATCAATTCTAATACGCCTAACATTATGAAGAAACTGTAAAAATTACCTACTACTGCAGTCTAATCATATTTGGGTTCTGCGGGTTTTTGAATACGACTTTATAGTTTTTTTGCTAACAAAATTGAGGAAACTAAAAAATAGATACGGCCTAATTTTAGGCTAATTCAATACCAACATAAACATTTTCCGCTTTTGCTAGCTTGAATTTTTCGTTAAAAAAAATTGAAATACCTAAAAAATGGATGTCATAATTTTGGTCTCATTTTAGGCTAATTTTATATCGACATACAAATTTTTCGGCTCCTTCCTTTATAGAAAAAATTAGGTGCTCTGCTAGTTTGACAATACGACTTTATAGTGTTTTTGTTAATAAAATTAAGGAAACTAAATGATAGATACGGCATAATAAAAAAAATTCCGCTATTGCCTTTATTAGAAAAATTAGGAGCTTGACAATATGACTTTATAGAGTTTTTCGTTAAAAATTTAAATAACTACAAAATAAATACGTCATAATTTTAGGCTCATTTTAGGCTAACTTTATATCAATATATGAAAAATTGGGTAATCTGTTGGCCTAATAACAGGCATTTATTACGTTTTTCATTAATACATTCAGCAATGTAAAAAACTATACCAGCATAAGTTTAGGCTTACCTTAGCTAAAAAATAGACATGACATAATTTTAGGCCTATTTTAAGCCAACAGAGTACCTTTTTTTTCTATAAAGAAAGAAGCGGACATTTGTTTAGGTTGGTTTACAATTAACCCAAAATTATGGTGTAATCAAAATTTGAAAAATCCAAAGGTGCTCTGCTAGCGTAATATCAAGCTAGCAGATCACCTAATTTTTCCTATAAAGAAAGGAGCGGAAAATACTTTATGTTGGTATAAAATAAGCCTACAATGAGCCTAAAATTATGGCTCCCTCAGATTGTGAAAAATCCAGAGGTGATTTGCTTGCTTAATACGTATTAATTACAGCAGCTTCAGAATAATAAATATTCCAGCAAATTTTATTTAAATACTGATATTAATCGAATATTAAGTAATTCATTAGTGGCAATCAAATATTTTCCTACTAAACATATTTTCTCGGTTTATATCTACATTTATTTTAATCATCTGGTGCACAATGATCAGTCACACAGAAGAAAACACTAAATTATTCAAATTTCTTCCTAATTAACAAAACATAAAATCCATTAATTTGTGATGTGCTCCGCTTTTAATATATATGTAAATTTATTTGAAATTATTTTATACGCTAAATCTGATAAACAACTTGTTAATAACACACTTGTGCAAACAGATTTGAGGTCATACAGCAATCTAAAAAAAAAAACAAATTATTTAACAATTCTATTTCCGTTGTTGTCGTTTTTATTTAAGGTTCACCGCAATATATTTTTCATAAGCCCTACAAAGTTATAATGAAAAATATAGATGAGCCGGAAATGGCAGGCACGATTCTTAAAGCTAAATATAAAATGAATGGTTAGTGATAATTTCAACAAAAAAATTACAAGAAACAACACCTGAAGGAAGAAGAGATAATATCATTTAAAAATCCTGTTAAAAAATAGCATATTTTTAACCGTAACAGAATAATTAGGTATAGTCAAGTTAACAAGTGCTTTTTGGGTCAAACTTTTTTCTCCGTCTACGAAAAATATGATCGAGGTGTCATTCGATTTGGAATAGCGTGTAGATGATTTTTGAAAATATTCAAGAGCTGCTTGCAAAAATTGCAAAAGTTATTATACAATTAACTGAAAAAAAAAAATGGGTTTGGTTTTTTGAAAATATCCCAAAAATTATTTGATATTTGAAAAAAATATTCAAAAAGAGGAGGAAATTTCCCCAAAACAAAGTTTTATCACCCGGAACTGTAGGACCAATATTTATAATTTTCCCAGAGGGTTGAAAATACGGCTGAAAACGGAGATTCTGGTTTACGTAAGGACACCATTCCTTTACATCATCGGAACTGTTCATCCAGTAAAACCTTTATCGTACTCTCTGAAGGGTTTTCTTGACATTGAGATGATGTCCTCCTAATGGACTGTCGTATAACTGACGAAGTACTTCGGCTACTCTACTCCATGGAATAACCAACTGTCTTCTGTTCTCCGAACCATCATCATTTTCAAGTATTCGCTTTAATAAGACATCTTCCAGTATAAAAGAGTCTCTTTGAGCCAAATATGATTTAAACACTGGAAAGAGATTAGATACTTCCTGCCAAGTAGGTCAACGATTTCCTCTTTCCATTGTCGTATCTTCTTTAAAACGGTATTGTTCTCTTTGTTTTTCCTAATTTTAGCAGGGGCCCACTTATCGTTGACTACAGTTCTAGAAAGAGAATCGGCATTTTTGGGGCTTATTCCGGCTCTATGTTCGATCTTAAAGTCGTACTCTTAAAGTCGTTCAATCTGACCACTTTGGGAATCCCTAATCTACATAACATAATATTATTCATTCACATACACCTAAGGTATTCCTATATGTTATTTCTACAGATTTATCTTCTTTATCATTTTTACACAACAAGCGGTTTCCTATCCTTAAGATATGATTTAAACCACCCTATTGTAAGACCACTAATACTATATTTTTTAAGTGTATCCTACATTATATCATATTCCAGAAAATCATAGGCTTTGGACAAGTCCAAAATAGGTAAATAGAATTGACAATATCTCATTTCAAATCCAGGAGTAAAAAAATGTAATCTGAACAGTTATATCTCGAATAAACCATTGTCATCGATGTGAATAAACAAAGGCTCTAGAGTAGAGGTTCTCAAACTCTTTTGTTTTTTAGACCAATTTCTAAATCTCGAA